AACGAGTAGTCGAACCCTCGATTCCCGAGCTAAAAGGGCAAGTGAGTTTTGATTGTGGTTCTTGGGACGGTCCCTTGAAAACCAGTCTAGTGGTGATGTGGGAACTCATGAAGCCTTCCTGGTGTCCCCATCCTAACGCAGGCTTAATCTGGGACATGACCGCGGATGTCATATTGGAAAGGGATGATGATGCGAGTTTACATGATCTGGCCATGATACATCACCTGCTAAGCATGAGATTGATGAAGAAGAAGAGCAACCCGTCCACGGAGCTGTCCGAGGAAGGTACGTCGAGTGATTGGTTGGAGCAAGGCACATGCTTGGCTCAACACAGTGGGATGGAAGGACATGTTTGTAACGTGGGACACTGCCTGATTACGCTGAGCGAGCAGCATCGACAACTGGCACGATTGTATGGAAGATTAAGCATGTCAGATAAGAGTGCCATGGAATTGGTCGCAGACTGCCATGGGGTGACGGACGTAAACCTGATCACAGCCTTGGGATTTTGTAGCATGACGAGTTCGATAGAATCGCTCGAGCGCTTGGAGCGTGCCCATGAGCTAGTGGCGTCCCTCAGCGTGGAGATATTCCCTGGAGCATTACAGACAGAGCAAAAGATTGGAGGCTGGCGAGAAGCCCTAGAGAATGAAATGAATCTGAGGGATAGTGAAGCCTATCACAGACCTACTGGTTCAAAATATATGGTGGGTTCAAGCTCCGCGCCATACTGCAATAGCAAGTATCCTACGCACATGGTGGTGATGGATGCGAGGACGCAACAGGTGTTGGTTGACCAGCTTTTCTCTGTGCCAAAATGCGTGAGGTTGGCCAGAATGTCAGAGAGGTCATATGACTTGTTGGCAAAGATCTTTCGGGCAGTCCCGAAGAGATCCGAAGGCGAGTTGCAAGACGTTGTGGGTGAAGAGTTCATGATACTGAATGAAGGCAACGTGAGTGAGTTCCAGAAGCAGAAAGCGAGTGGAGCGTTACCCACTGAATTCCCCACCATAGAAGAGAAAGACGATCTACATAGAATCCTGATGGAAGTGGAACCGTTGCTGGGAGCCTCAGGGTATCGAACCCGAAGGAACATAGTGAGAACCCACGGGGAATATCCTTGCCACTGCTTAGCGCAGACGTTGTGGTACCCCAAACGTGGGAACCTGATCCTAATTTGGGACGTGGAGGAGTTGTACTCCACGGGGTTGCCCGATCAGAATCAACCAGTGTCAATCGTGGTGGTTAGCGCCATGCTAGCAGTGAGATGGTTGGAGGCTTATGCGGACACAAATGAGCAGGAGACGGCCGTGCCGACTCCTGAACAGCTGAGCAACGTGAAAATGAGTAGTGAATTGGATCTTTTCAGAACCACTTGCAAGGTTCTGAGAATACCTAAAGCCATTGAAAGAATATGGTCAAGGCAAAGATTGATGCCTTGGTTCCGTGCAGTGATGACATCTTGGATGTATGAACGCGCGAAGCGTCACATGTCAAGGAACACGGAAGCCTATCAATCTTTCCAGCTAGACATAGGACCAGGAGCCTATAAGAGAGCTTTCCTGACGCATAGAAACGCGGTCACCACTGCGGTGAAGCGAGTAGCTGGAGCGCCTTGTGTTACTGAAGATGAAAAGAAAGAGGTCTTAAGAGCTGACCTAGAACGAAACGTGAGCCTGTGTCTTCACAACAGCTTTTGCAGGAACCGGGAGCAGAAGGTGAATGTGGACTTACTACCTTGTTGCAAACCGAGGCTGTTGGAGCAGGAGGGTTGGGGCACGGCCCGCAACTCTCTGGACATGTTAGAGAAAGTTCTGGAAGACAGTGACGCTGAACATCAGGATGGAGAAATGATGGAATGAAGATGACGGAGGAAGAGAAGAGAAGGAGAAAAAACTTGATTGTCTTTGTGTGTAAAAACTTGAACAAATCAACCAAGTTTTGATTATTGAACTTGTGAAACTTTTTGTTTTGATTTAGTTTGGTCAGACCAAACTTTGAAAATTGTTGCAATTGTTAAAATTGTTGAAATTGTTGATTTTAGTTACTACTATCTATGTATGTATATAAGGAGCATAGGTGAGTATATTTACCTATTTATTCCCGACTGAAGTTTTTAACCTGTGTAAGACACAAATTCACTGTGTGGCGACATGGTAAGTTTGAGTAAACTCGCTCGAGAAGGGTGGGTAACTCAATAACTTTCCTAGCCACAGAGTTTCTTAGTTTTAATATTGAAAGGACCGCATAAATGACTAATTATACTTGGTGAGTGAAGTTAAGTTAATTTTAACGGGTGCGTGGCCGTGCCACGTCCCACTTTTTAATCAGAAGCGAAAAGAAGTTTTATGGCGAGATGACGTAAGTAGTCAGAAAGGAAATTTTATCTAGGACACTCCTCATGGTGCAACTTTTGTGAAAATGTTGAAAGGCAGTGAGATGTAGTACGATGCCATTTGTGAACACGTAGTGAGTTGAGGTGGAGTAGATAAATTTCATTTTCTTATGCGATTTGTAAGATTGGTTACAGAAAACTGGATACCTACTTGACGATAACCCGGTGTTGTGCGATCAATAGGGACATTGATGGAGACTTGTCCGGGGAGTATGTGCCATTCCGCCGGATGACACAGTATAACCTTCCCGCGACGAAAAAAAAAGTGACTAAAGGCCTTACGAACAGAAAAGTGTTGCGACGGAGGGTCAGAATGTTCTGGAATTTTTATTTTTAAAATTTCGATTTGAAGGAGAACATTTCTGAGAAATAGAAAAAAGACGGCCATTTTGAATAAAATAGAGAAAAATCAGAACGACGCCATATTTTGTGACGAACGGTTGTATCCGAGACGAGAAAATTACGGAGCCTCTTATCGTGGCAATAACACACGATAAGGACCTTAGTGACGGATATTTGTGGAGACGGAGGCTTCAGTGGGGGGAAGAGAAATACCACGGAACCCTCCCGGGACACGAAATATAGGAGATAAGAGTGTTGTCTCAAGAAAATCACGGGAGCGGAGGCTTGGTCCCCCAGAGACTGTTATATGTGAAGGGACTGTGTAAACTAGCCATAACAGTTGCTGTAATGTCCTAGATCTGAATTAAACACCGTTATTATTTAATATTTCAGAGCATGAGTAGATAGAGAAAGGAAAAGGTCAATCCATCTCCAATGGATTTAATATAAAACTGTCACACAAAAACATATAGAAATAGGTGGTTCGAGCCGTGTTTTTAATGACAATCACGTAGTCTGAGGATCCGAGACTCAGCTATGTGGTTGTGTTCGCATGCAAACGAAAGCTGATCAAAAGTCGTTTGACTGATGGCCTAAAAATAGTAACTTTTTACTTTGCCCTAGACAGACCAGAAAATCAACTGGCAAGGTCGAGACGGTGAAAAACGAGTGGAATTAAGGTAACTGACGCCTGCCAGTCGTCAATAGGTACTTTTTCTACGCTCCGTCGCTGTGTGATATTTGGGCGAATGTTACAAATCCTAAACATCTAGTGTTAGCAACATATAAAGAAAATATCAAAATTGCAAATCATAACGCTCATCATTATTGACTTACCTACTCACTTATGCCTTTATCTATTTGTCATTAATTTTTGTCCATAAACAATTATCTGCCTTGAGATTAAGTCCTCTTAGACAAAAATAAAGATCTCTTCTCTCTCACAACTACTTCAAACCAGCAATATATCAACATAAAACAATAAAGACGAAACATATCTATACAAATCACGGTGGAAATCCTTCCTGGAGATACGGAACAATTAGGTTCTTATGGAGTAAATCGTTATTCAAATATTTTTAGCAATCAGCCACATGAATGAATATAAGCATACAGCTGTTTTGTCAATAAAACAAAATATATTGAGTCTACAAAACAAAATATTTGAGTCAAAGAAAAAAACAATCAATTAATCCATTTTGACTACTGACCTGATCTTAGTGAACCTCTTTTTTTGCTTTCTTTTGATAATTTGGTATCTTAACAGTTTTGTTACGCTTGCGATTGCGATATCAAATCGGAATATAGACATTTTCTGGGTTAACAACCCTTATCGGGGAATGACCCGGTATCTTGGGTCATAATGAATCCAAAATTCCCATTTGCGTTTAATATTCATTATGAAGCCTTCGATTGCCTTTATATGGAATTTATAATCGGTGTTGTTTATAATTGAAATATGACAATTGTCGTATCAGTACTTGTGTTTAATGAAGTGAAGTAAAAACGTTAGAGTTATTCAAACTCGGAACAAGTAACGGAATCGAAATGAGAAAGAATGCGCTGTCATTGACGAGTGTTACTGGGTACGTTTAGCCACTAAAATTTCCCGTGATATTTCTTTTTTTTGTAAATCAAAAAGTCAGAAACTACCATGGTAACCGAAGTTACTACACTAGTCCTTAATCATTTCTCCCAGTCAAAAAATCATTGATTTTCATGAATTAGGCAAAAGTAAAATATAAAGTGAAGGAAAGTAAAAACTCAGATGGTTGGGAATTAAGCCAACCAGACTGAGAAAATTAAAGAATAAATCGGAGTTGTAAAGAATAAATCGGAGTTGAACAAACTTAAAAATATTGTCCTGATTTGAGGCTACTGGTCTATCAGATACTTATACTAGGCTGCTCCTTTAAAAATTTAGCAGTGTCATCCGCCTCCTCAAGGTGGGACTGACTGCGGCGAAATGAATGACATCTCCCATCTCCTATAGCAGTGTCACCCGCCTCCTCACGGTGGAACCGGCTGCTGCGAAATGGTTAAAATCTCCTTCCCCCGTTTGGTCTTGCACTGAGCAGGACCGGCAGCCGATAAAAACAACTTTCTGTTGAGAACCTAATTGTTGTTGAGAACCTAATCGGTGCTTATTAATAATATCGATTTAAAGATTTGTCCTCATTGATGTTGTCAGATGATATCCTATATTATTCGCTGAAATATTTTCTCAGTTGTATACGTTATTTTTATCGGTTTTGTATATAATTTAGATACTAGTGATGAAACTTTAGTTACAATTCCTATTTTCAAATTGTCACTACGAATGGAGGAGGTCTTATCACATCGCCTCAATCAAATCGGCGCTGATGCTGAGGCGTTCCGTTTGAAAGGCAAAGCTGAGCTTTCAATCGACACATCAAGCAAACGAATTCTTCCGCCGATTGCTCCAATCAACTCGCCAATTCCAAATTTCAGATACCGCAGAGAAAAAAAAGCAGCGGTTGCTTTTGCACATTTAAGGAAAAAACTAAATGAAACGAATCAAGATGATGATAACCATTCGGATGATGAGGTTTCTCTTGAGATTGTTCTTGAAGACGAGCCGAAAGCAACAACTCGAACTTCAAGTGCCGTTTCGAGTAAACATACTGTAAAATCTTCGACGATTCTGAACGAGGACGATTTTGTGAAAAATTTGCTAGAAGAAGCAGGTTAAATGTCTTATACATCTATACAATCAGTAGAAAAATAAATTTAACATCATTAAATTTATTCAAATTAAATAGGCTTTTTGAACACTCCCAGATAATTGTACCTTTTTCGAAATCTTTTTGGCACTGTTTTGTGTCAAAAATCTAATGGGCTTTGCCGGAAATTTTTTATTTTTTATTTTTATAATCTTTGTTTTAATCTATATCTATAATTATTGTTTGGAGTGTAAATATAATTTTTAGATAAACAGTTAAAAGACCTGAGACGTACCGAAACAACCTTAAAGTCAACGAAGAAAACCAAAACAGTCAGAATCAATTCAGCCTCCCCTGTGCCAAATTTGTCGTTGAACTTGCCTGGCAACCAACCCAATCTGTTCGACAACCAAGTACCAGATGGTAATAGAGATGTTTTCTATCACTTGAAAAGACTGCGATCTCCGCTGAATTTGCCGACGGAGCTGCCCAGACATGGACCGAGTGTTCGACTTGAATTGGAACAGCTTGAAACTAAAGTAAAAAGATAAGCGATTGTACATTGCTTAGTAAGATCGATTGAAATTCAATTAAAGATGCTTATTAAGCAACTGAGAAAAAGCATGAATATCTATTGTTTCAGGTTGATTTTTCGTCCTAATTTGGCGTGAACAAAAAAATGTGTCTCATCTTGTTAAATCTTGTTCATAAACTCACAAGTAGTCGCCGCACTTTTTAGCTTTAACAAAATAAGTTTTTAGGAAGAAGAAATTTTCAAGTACAACGAGGAAGACGGCAATTTTGTGTATTGCCTACCTAAACATCGCATGGACAAGAAGGCCCGTTACGATCCCTACAACATCGAAGTTGTCTCTCCCGAAGAGGCCAGAGGCTGCAGGGAGGTCTTCACTGCTTCCATGTCCGCAATCACTCTGGTAATCAAATATGTAATCATAATAGTAATGATAATAGGAAACTATTTTGAACATCAAGTCCAAAGTTTCTGTATTGACCTTTTTATTGTTCCGATTTCAAAGAAAACAGAATATTTATGCTCGGGGTGGTTTTTTTATTCAGTCAACTTTCACCGATCGAAATAATGATTTTCAACAAAATTTTTTTATACCCCATTGAAGATATCGGCTTCTTGAGTTCAAATGTAAAAGGATATTTTACCTGCGATTACTTTTTGTAAGGTTCTAGGGGTTTGAAAATTGCCAAATTGGCCATGTTCTGGACTAAATTACGTGCGCTCTGAAGATATTATTCATATTGCTGAGAGCGTACCGCGAATTATTTATGCGTGGCGAATTATCCCGCCCAACAAAATCGTTCCAAATTGAATTGAGGCTAGCTAAGTGGTCTTATTAATTTCGTACGACTCAAAATTTCACACTTTGATATTGTCCAAAATGTATAGGATTTCAATATTTTCTTTTCCCAAAAACTATTCGATATGAATTAAGGGACAGTCGGAACATTCAGTGCTTTGCCCTGATATACAAGCAGTCTTGTTGACATTTTCTAAGGATTTTTCAATGAAAGTTTCAGTAATTCAGTTTTTTGTTTCTCTGCAGATATTTATTCATAAGTCTCGAAGATTTATAAGCGTTGAGTCATCTTCACTCGATCTGCAATGTTCAAATCTGGTACCAATAGAGGATTTCCTTTATGATTTGCCAACTCCTTTGCTTAAGTCAACTACTGATTTCAGCTTAAAATTAGCTGTGCTTCAGAGTTTTCCCGGCTTATGGTCAGTCTACTGTTGTTTTGTCAGGTCAAGTATGCAGCAGATGGAACCAAAATGGTGGTGCGCACTCCAGTGCTGCGCTGGATGTATGAAGCTAGACTGTTCCGATTGATATTCCACAAATCAGTCTTCGTCAAATTCCGAATCTGGAAGACGTTCAAGTTGTGGCGAGCTAATGTGAGAAGCAAAAAGAAAACAGAAGTTAGGTAAAGAACTCATTGCTTAATTTTTAATGACATTAAAGAGTAGTTTTTTGAAACACGAATTTTAAACATCCTCCTATTAGGCCCCAATTTTTTAAAGCTAGATGCTCCTATTAGGCCCCCAATCGAAAACGGGGTGAGTCGGAACTATGCTTCAGAATATGTTTTTTTTCCAACATATTTTGACTAACTCAAAGAAAGCTCGTACGTGTCTAGTTAAAAAAGGTGCTTAATAATTCATAAGTGTCTATTGTTGGATAGCTAATTACGTTTTCGTTTGTATATTCGGTGTCGAATTTCGCTTCTGATTTTGATATGTTTACCGGTAGAACGGTCGGTTGCATTGGATCTAGGAATTTAGTTGATTTTTTTGTTCTCTGCTTAATGAGACACCTGAAATGCGCCGTGCTAGCTTAATGGTTTTCTGCCAAACGATTCCAATTAGTATTTGTAAGTTTTATGAATAGCTCTGTAAATAGATATAGTTTGGAAACAATTTATTATTATTATATTAATATTTTATAACTAAATGTATTTTTTTTTCGCCTCAGTGCCAAGATCGGCCAGGAATTGTTAACCAACGCTGAAGTTCTTCTCCTCTGTCTTCTGCAAGTGCGCAAAATATGCCAGAGTGCTTGTCCTAGCAACTCCTACCAGAATCTGGGCACCACTGAAGTCTGTCTGGTTACCCTGGACCCGAAGAAGACAATTTGGCTGGAAGATTTTATGGACACCCAGAAGCGGCAGTGTTCGGCAGCTCTGGATAAACTGCTGGGATTGAGAGAGAGTGTGGTCACCATTGCGAAGCAGGCTTGCTTGGTGAGAAATTAATGAATCTACTTCTCTTGTGAAAGTTAAATTCGAAATTCGATCGAGAAAATGTATTTTACAGCTGAAATTTGAAACAAGAAAAAAATTGATCGGAACTAAAATTTCAACTAAAACACAACCAAAAGGTTGTCTCCTTTGGTATTATTTTATGACATCCATTTTTGGCGACCAACCCTAAAATTTTTTGACCGACCCTATTTTTTTTACCGCATTTTACCTGTTTTTTTTTCTAAATTTTTGACCATTTTTTTTTCAATAACGGCATTTCTGATGTTTTTATGTTTTTTTTCAAAAATTTGCCTGCTGCGCTGAAAATAGTGTCAAAATAGATTCTTTTTTGTGTTATGCGGGCGCTCGGAAAAATACATTTGGTCGACCAAAAAAAGTTGGTCGATCAACAAAATTTTAGATTCACCCCTGATGCTGGAAATTCATAATTTCTTGTTGGTTTCAGTTTCATGATCTCTCCTTGTCTCCCAGTGATAAATTTTGATGGAATATTTTTTTCTGTAGAAAGTAGCGCAAGATGAAGCAAGAGTACATGGAATTGATCCATCCAATTTATTACGTGGACAATTCGACTTCTCTGGAAAGAGAAAACAGAACTCATGTTAGTATCTTAAAAATAAAGTTTTAAAGTTTCAGTTTTTATTTTCAAAATTAGGCAAAGCAAACCAGCGACTTGTTATAAGTGTTTTTCAATAGGTGTTTTTTTAGAGATATCTCTTTCTAGTTCCCAAATTCAATTAAAATCCCCGAAATTTTTTTTAAAACTGACAGTGTTCTAAATTACCACAAATTTTTAAATCAATTCTGAATTCCAGCATCTCCCTATACTGAACTAGCGGTGTGGAAACACATCTTGAGAAGACTGAGTAAGTTCCTCCGACTGATTGACAACCAACTGCTGGACCTCCTTCAACGTCTAGTGGTCAATGCTACGTGTCATCTCTGGCACCACATTGATGGGGGACTAGAAAATGTGCGGAGACGTCTGGAACACGCTGCAGAGGTTAGGGGTAACATATAAACATTATATTTTTTGTTAATAAATGATCATATCATTTTAAAAAAATAAGCATCAGAAAACAAATGGTTGCTAAGCAAACTCATTTAAACAAAAATTAAATTATAGAAATGAAGTTAAAGCAACAGTAAAATTTTTCGTTTCTTTTTGTTTTGCAGGCCTCCCAAATTATTGTAAATATCAAAAATAAAATAAATAATTGAAAATATTAGTCTGGATAGTTATAGCCAGGAATTAGTTATAGCCCCAAAAAACAAGAATCGCAAGAATAAGTTTGAAGTTTTGGTTCGAGTAATTTTGTCTGTCTTCAACTGCAATTCTTTCAAATCTTTCAACTGCTATTACTCCTAACTGAATAAATTTTGACTAGTCGTGACTGGGTACTGACAAACGAAAAACGGTTTCTCTGCAGAATCTATCGATATGTTGGCCTCAATTCCTTGGTCTTGATTACTCAAATTAAAAAGTTTGCAGTTACCACCTGACAGGTTGATGCTTTTTTAGTATTCTCGCAAGCTGAACTAAACTGTAAACGTACAATAGAATGTATGGTTATAAAATTCTGGCTTGAAAAAAATCAATATTATAAAACATTTTAATGTTTTGCAGGAAGAAAAGCAACTTCAGAAGGAGAAAGAATACAAGCCCAGGCTGAAATCAGGCGGGTTCAAAAGGTCACTCGGTCCCTCTGAGTTCGAGCAAGAGTCACGTGACGGGTCGGACAAAAAGGGGAAGGAATATGTGGTTCCAAAATACGATTTCAAGAAAATGGAAATTCCAAAGCCAACCGTTGTCGATATCGACGAGGTGAAACTATTTTTCAAAACAAAGCTTACAAAGAAAATTAAAAAAGCGAATAATGCCGTTGTGATCAGGTAATAAAGATTCAAGACGCTGATTGTTTAGGTCAGGGCTAATTCTCTGAAAGCTTAAATATTTTGTTTATATATGGATAAATGACGGAAAAAAACGCTGTCAAGTCTTTCATAAACAAAACTCAAATAGTAAAAAAGGACAGCCGGTTGCTGTGCAAGTAGATCAGAAAGTTCCGAGCACCTCCTCAGAATTTCTTTTTCTGTTCGAAATTTTTTTGCCAGAAAAGCTCTAAATGAAGCTTCTCAAAGTAGTTTTCTTTTTATTAAACTCAATTTCTTTTTTATTGCTATTTTTAATATATAACGAACTTTACTCGATCGCTTTACTCGCTTGAAAATAGACTAAAATCAAAAATTTCAAACCGGTTTTTCTCGACACTGGGGAAATTTTTTGAAATTATTTTGATGTCATTTGAATCACGACTGAAAGTGTTTCAATATTAAATATCTATCAAACCAATCCGATAATTTTTCAGTGTACCTGATTTTGCGTGGAAAACAAAAAAGTTAAGAGTACAAAGTTCCTCTCCATTTTTAATGGTCGGAAGAATTAAACTGCCAGGAGATGCGTTTTTATTTCAATATTGATTAAAAATGCTAATCATGCAATTCTCATATATGGCTTATACAGATAGCACGTTTAAAAAAGTGCTTGAAAACCCTATGACTAGAATTCTTTTATATAAGGAAATTGCATGGCTAGCTGTCTGCTTTACATTGCAATTCTATGGGTAGCATTCTTCCTTAAACTAACATTTTTTTTCCGTTTTCCAAGTAAATATTTTTGTGTTTATTTCTGAAACACAGTAGCATTAGATAGCAAATTCCCTTAGGTCAGAAGGACAATGAAATTTTCAAAAAAACTGCTTCATGAGATAATGCGATGAAGAAAAATCTAACTCTGAAAAATGTATATGGCAAAATCACCCAATTTTTTTTACAATCGGCGCAAAGAAAATTCTACAGTAGTTCTTTCACCGATTGGACTCTTTTTCCTTTTCCCCCACCTGCAATTTTTTAGAGTAAATTTTCTTTTCACATCGTCGGAATGTTATCAAATTTGGCATAGGGACTAATTAGGCCATGACAAACATATTTGGTCTTCAAACTCAACCTTGTAAAACCACTCGTTACACGATGAAATCGATGCTTATGTGAGGTGGAGGGTAAAGAGCCACCGATTGGAAAATTCGTTCAGTTTTTGAATAGTTTGTGTGTTTTTAGTTATCAAATTCAAAAAAAATATATAGTTTATCCACTGATTACAAGAAAGCAAATTTTGTTAATTTAGATTTTTAAATTTTTGCGCTACTGGCTTACATTTTAGACTAAAAATTTTAATTTTGCTTGCAGATTTTTTTCTGAAGCCACAAAACGAAAAAAAGCACAAAATTTTCTGAAGCCACAAAACGAAAGAATGGCATGACTAGCCGTTTTTCTTAATCTGCATACATGTCAAAATATGCCTGAGTGATAATCGGAAGTTTAATTTGGGAACTGACTTGGGAAGAAATAATTCTCTCTCATTTCCAGATTGTGGTGTATACGACTGAATGGGGGGTGAGAAATTATTCCAAAATTGATTTTACTTGGCACAGAAAACTGATCAAATTTTTGCATTCACTTCATAACTAGGGGCTTCGTAAAGAGTTTGATAGCTCGTACGTTGGTTTTTTCCTTCGTGAATAAAAAACCTTAAACCATTTATAGATTTAAATAGTTGATGAGTCAAAAACAAAGTTGAAAGTGTAAAACTTTTTAAAAGCGTGAGGTTTCATTAAAAACCAATTTGCGTAGTCTGTGAAAATTAATGCGCGCTAATAACTGGGTTGAGTTGAGACAAGATGAAATGAACTACAATGCTAATTTAAATTAATCGGACTCAACGACAAGGAAAATTCAAACGCGTTGGGTTAACAATAGACAAAAAGTGAAAATAACAAAAATTGTTTAGAATTTAACCAGAATTATCATGTGCAAATCATGTTTCAAGATCCGTAACCAAATATTTACCCCAAAAATGGGTCATTTTGGCTTAAGTCAATTAAAATTTAAGTTGAAAATACCAACTAAGGAGAAAATTATCTACAAAAGGCCTCTTACACAGCCCAAAAGTTTCTGGAAGGGCATAGCTTCAAAGATTGGGGTGAAACAGTTTATATTTGTTTTAAAGCAAAGATTTTTATCTGTATTTTTGGCTAGTTTTAGCGTAAATCTTGATTAAATAATAAAAAAGAAATGATCCATTTTGCGGTGAAAATTTGGCTAAGAATTTTTTGGACAAATTACACCTTATTAATTCTAAGCAACATTGCTCTCCTCTATTTTTGTCTTATCTCAACTCATTTTGAGAAAAACGCATTTTCAATTTCCAATTTTGTTCGTTTTTGGATAATTTGAGTCAGCGCTGCAGAAATGCAAAATAAATCGCCCATCATGTTTATTACACTAGCTTCAGCTTAGTGTATTATTAGGAACCTTTTTTTCTAAACTAAGTCGCAAAAATTGGTGCTATTTTTTGGTCACTTTTATAGCTTTTTCATAGCATGTGCTTTGATACCTTATTAATTCTATGCAGCATTTGCTCTCCTCTATTTTTGTCTTGTCTTATCTCAACCCAATTTGAGAAAAAGGCGTTTTCATTTTCCAATTTTGTTCGTTTTTGGATAATTGAGTCAGCGCTGCAGAAATGTAAAATAAATCGCCATTCATCTTTATTACACTAGCGTCAGCTTAGTGTATTATTACGAACCTTTTTTTCTAAACTAAGGCGCAAAAGTTGGTGCTACTTTTGGGTCACTTTTATAGCTTTTTCATAGCATGTGCTTTGATATTCGAATAGTAATAAGTTAACACAGTTGATGCATTTTTAATTCAAAAGAACCGAAAAAAGTGATTTGTTTCAAACTACATGGCAATCATGAAAACTCGTTTTCAGAAATTTTCTTACTCGATATATCTTGCAATTTTTTGAAATGCATATTTTATACATAGTGTGGCTTTATGTTTTGCGATTTGTTACATGCAAAGTTAGTGTGGATGCCTTCAGCTTGTTATATTCCAAATTTTTACTTGCAAAATGTTGTCTAACTGTATTTGGTGCCCATTTTGCTGAACCACATTGGCAATTTGTTAGTATATATAGCTGCTTTATTCGTGACTTAGGCTTGTCGATGGTTAAGCGTGCGTGGCTGAGTGGATATTGTGTGAGACTCAAAACCTCTATGTTGCACTAGGTCATAATCGAATCCTAGACCTAGCTGAAAACTTATTATTTCGAGGCTTATTTATATTTTTTCTTATTGCACTTTCTTGAGCTGCTTTTGTTGGTCTCGCTAGTGTTTGCGAAGCGAGGCTTCGCCTCTGTCTCATACCTCTGCTTTCGCCATACAATTAGGTCCTTTTTCTGTTCATTCGTCAAAAGCAATAAAACACAAAAATTAAGGAATAGTTTATCGACGACTTAGTGCATAGGCTTTATTTAGCGCTAGAGGCTTAAGAAGCTCAAGAATCTCTGAAAAGCAGCTGTTTTCAGATAAATAAGAGTAAAAATACGTCCTTTGGATATCGTACGTATGCAGTTTTAACAGAGAAATGATCGATAATCGGGAAACCATTTAACAACCGTTGTTAGATTTCTTAAACAACCCTTCTTGGTTTCCCCTTTTTCTTATACTATTGAACAACTTTTATTTCAAGTCTGTGAGATTTTGCCCTTGCTTTGTTTAAACAAAAACTGAACAACGCCTAGTTACTGTCACACTTGGTCTCGTAGTAAAGCCTTTTCCTTGCTATAGTCTGGATTTCAAGGCCCAGTCGGAACTTGCATTTTTAATTATGGAAATTGAATGTTTTTCTGGGAAAACTTGACTATCGTTTTTCTGCTTATATACTGTTTTTTTTTCCAAACTGTCTAATTTTTATCCAAAATAAGCATTTTCTACAGTAATTGAAAATCTTTTAAAATTTGTAAATTTACTTATTCAATTTTGTATAGTTTCCTTATTTTTTCAATGTATACAGTGTTGATTTAAATTATCCGGACAAAACAAACAAAACTTGAGTTTTCAAGCACGTTTTTCTCCAATTGGGTTAAGATTAGACAAAAAGTGAAGAGAACAAAAGTTGTTTAGAATTTCATTAGAATTGATATGGTATAATTTTTTCTCCGAAATTCTCAACTAAAATTTTACCCCAAAAATGGGTAATTTTGGCTTTTTTCAATTAATCAAAAATTACGCTGGAGCTACTTTGTTAATTGACAAGAAAATTAAGTCACAAGAAGCCTATTACACAGCCTAACAAAATTTAAGAAGGGTTAAATCTCCAAAAATTTGGGCAAATTGTTTAAAATTTGTTTTTAAACAGATTCTGGGTTTTATATAGTAAAAATCACATTTATTGACTATCAAAAGAAAGTTTTTTTTGTTATACTGGTTTTTGGAGATTAAACTTTTCTTAAAATGTGTTGGGCTGCTTAAGGGGCTTCTTGTGATATAGTTTTCTTATCAATTAACAAAGTAGTTTCAGTGTAATTTTTGATCAATTGAAAAAAGCCAAAATGACCCATTTTAGCATTTTAGGGGTAAAATTTTGGTTGAGAATTTCGAAGAAAAAAACTGCACCCTAATAATTCTGATGAAATTCTAAGCAACTTTTGTTTCTTTATTTTTTGTCTAATTTTAACCCAATTTGAGAAAAACGCGTTTGAAAATTCAAGTTTTGTTCGTTTTGTCCGGATAATTTAAATCAGCGCTGTATATATATATATTTTTCTAACAATTCTTATCACAATTGTTCTGCTACATGTAAATTTACAAACTCTGACTCTTGGTACGTTAATTCTTTTTCTTCTTTTTTTTTCAAATTGCTTAGCCTTATTTTACATTGACTCCGTCACCTTGAATTGTGTTGTTTTAAGCGCAAAATATTTATTTTTCAATTTTTAAATGTTTCAGTAGGTTGGGTGTTATCTTCATCGTTTTAATTGATTTTTTATCCAAATGTTGTTGCCTTTTGGAAGGGACGCAGGCTTCACTACCCCTCAGGGTTTGATGCCCTGATCACCCATGGGTCCCCAGTTCGGCAGTTAGTAGCACTTGGAGTACCTTTGGCGCCAATATCTTGAGCGAGAAGCGCGCTCCGAGAAAATGCAACTTTTCGATCAAAAATTTCCAGAAAAAATATGCCCAAAACGTCATATACTTTTTCTGTGGTGTCGGAATTAAGAAAGTATAGCCCTAGAACTCGATTATGATTTTTTAGTTAACTTATATTTAATGTCAAAGTGTTGGCATTCCTTTTCGGTCAAGAAATCGTTACGAAGTTTTTTAACGTAAAACGGCTCATTTTGTTTTCCAAAAACTAATTTTTTGCTCATTTGAGCACGCAAAACACCAGGTCGAAAATTTAAATAATCTGAAAGCTTTCTTTGCCGGTGTTAATTTGTTCAAAGGTCGTCGATTTTGCAAACAATTTGGCATTAACTTCAGTGCTGATTTAAACTATCCGGTCAAAACTAATAAGACTTTAATTTTAGAACGCGTTTTCCAAACTGGTTTGTCTTTGGAAGAAAAGTTAATTACACAAAATTTAATTAAAACTTTAGCAGAATTAAAACTTTGCCCTCTTTTTAAACAGCCTTCTTTTCAAACAAATTTGAGTATAGGTATATTCTCTAAAATTTTAAGCAAAACGTATTTAAATTGTTTTATAATGAAAAAATGATTGCTAACAAACTTCAAACTCAGATCTGGAGTCAATTGTGATGCAAGGACTGTAATCCAATTTTCAAAATATCAAAAAGATCGAGTTTGGACCGTATAACAGAAAAGACCCCCATTCTGTTTCAGATTCTGGGTTCGATCATCAAGAAGGAGAAGGAAGATGAGCTGCCTGAGCCTCTGTTTAATGTCAGACTCCAACTGAACGTCACACCACTCAGAACACTCAGCTCTAAACTAGTCAAAAGTGTACGTTTGTCTTTGTTTTGAACTATAGGAGCTCCATTTTGTCTTAGTCGATATGTTTTTTTTGGGTCTTTCCCATTATAGCTCCCCCAGCCTAACAGTAAAACAATAAAAAAAAAGTTACGAGTTACTGTATGCAACCTTACTCATACAAACCATAGCTCATGCAATTTCACTGTTTTGTGCATGTTTATTTATTTATCTGATTTATTTACTGTCATCAACCCATTTAGCACAAGTAAAGCAAACCTTATAGTCTGCTTTAGGAACTCGAAAGAACTGAAAATTTGCCAAATTATTTTGGAAGCTATAGTTCTGTGTTCGTGTTTCAGAAGAGTTCTGCGGGGAGTGGCTTCAACTCCAGACCGGACTTCGAGTCCAAACTCAGAGTCCCATCACACGTCACATTCCACGAAGGTAACATCATAGTAACATGATACCAGGAGTCATTACTCATTTGTCATTAGTTTAAACGCACATGCACTGTTTTTAAAGTTATCCATTGCTAGCGAAAGCAAGCCAAAAAAAGCCTTACGTTGAAGATGAAAACAGTGGCAGTCTATAGAAAGATTACGTCGAATAAATTCAAATTTGTCTGACAAATAGCGATTTTCATTTTATTATTTTTTTGAAGATATACATGCATACACTTAATTTTGAATCTATGATTTTTAATGAAAAAAGTGTTTCTTTTTTATTTCGGTATTTTAACCAATAACTCTCCTCCTCGATTATACTTAAATGTTGTAGACTTATAGATCAGAAATTATCATCTTTATCAACAGGAGCAACAGGAAAAGAGCCCCGGAATAGTTTTAAATGTTGAAACATTGATGAATTTTTCACAAATTTTTTTTTGAAGCTCAAGTCATTGTCAGCTATACTTTTCAGTTGGTATAAAAGAACTCGCCAAAAGTTGATAGTTGAAAAGTCGAAATTTATCTGGAAAAATAAACTCCCACGAACACAAATATTACGTCATTTTATTCGAAATTGCCAGAACAATTAAGTTTGAAGATGCAATGATACGTGAAGCTAAATTCCAAACTGGTTTTATATTGGGTACGAGTGGTATAATGCGCCTGAATCAGAGTTTGTCGCTTAACCTACTGTTACGTCACTTCACGTCTTTACAGATGAGCAGCAACTTGGAGCTGACGATGATAATCAGAACATGGGCAACAACAACCTACTCAACTCCACCACCCCCTCCGGAATGGAACAGACTGAGGACGACAGGGGGACTGTAGCTTCTACTGAGGACAATGAGAGTATAATAAGTGAGAGTAGTGTGGGGGCGGGGTCGTCTGCAGGGGGAACTCTCATTGGGTACTTCGGAAGGTGAGTCATTTGTTTTAATAGGGTGACTTGAGTCATCATGACATATTTTGCGATAGTGTGGTTGCCTTTTGTTCATTACATTTAAATAATTACTTGCTATTTTCATTTTAAATTGTTGCTAAGAATTTATCCAAACTTTATTGTTGTTTTTCTCCAAAATTCGGTCATGTAAAATTCCCCTCGGTTTGTTTTGGTTCCATTTCAAAAAAGGCCACATTTACTATATGTAACAATTTGACCTTTGAGCTTCGACCTGTGTAACAATTTGATGTTAAGTTGTGAAATAAGAATTAAATTGTCTCGGGTTTGAATTGCAAGGGAGAAGGTACAAGGAGTGCGTTGTTTTCATATCAATTGAGGTTGGCGGAAATAACGTCCATTCTATTTGGGCATTTACGGCAATTAATTGCAAGGGTTATCTGCTGACTTGATTGTGTCGCATTATCAATCAGCCACTGATTTTTGAGAACACAGAAACTGCGTTTTTTGTGTCGACTACATAATATTCCGAGCTCTCTCAAAACCCTATAAAAAGTCTTAATTTGACAACCCAAAATGCCATTTTTGGGCCTTGTTCAGAACGTTTTTTCCAAAGAATATATTTTCTGGCGCGTGTTCCTCGTATATAGAAACTAGTATAAATTGGCACAGGTATATAGTGGCACCAACGGCGCCTTTTTAAAAAATGAGGTTTGGTTGACCAAAAATGGATGTCGTAACATAATACCAAATAACACTTGGTTGGTCAGTGAGTCCTATCCTGCCCTGATTGGGTCCTCAAATTTGCTGTTGGGTAAATTTGCTATTGGGTCCTAACACTTGTGTAAATGAATTAGCAGCTCGGACCAGATGTTGGAATGAACTAAGGCTTCGGGTGTGTTTTTCACTATGCTCATAAATTATTACAAAAAATCAGCAAATGGGGTTCAGAAACACACCATATTGAAACCGTTTCAGTCCTTATTCGACCGATTTTGAAAATTTTGGAATAAAAACATTTTCGAAAAAAAAGTAAGTTTTTTTTCAGAATTTCATAGCACTTCGGTTGCCAGGAATTTTTTTGGTTTTCAGAATACTTTCTAAGCTGCGGAAACAAATTCACGCAAGCTCAGATTTTTTTAAGTTTTTTTTCTCGCTGTTAAATCTGAGTGACTATGGTCGGAACTTTAAGAGCTTCTTGCCTAGAAGCCGGCTACTTCAGATTTAATTAACAAATGATAGAGCTGAGCTCTCAAAGCTGCATTTGTTACAGCAGAAAAGCAAGTACATGTCTGTTCGTCGATTCACTGTTTCTCATTGTTTTAGATTCAAGGAGTCGCAGCAGGGGGAGGTGTACTCTTCTCTCTTTCCCTCCCTGCAGGACTTCAAGGACAACATCGTTAACTGCTTCAATCTATTCGAAAACACTGTCGGTAGGTTAAAAAAAACTTTTTCGAATTCGGTTTGATGATGAACACTTCCAAATAATCCTTAGGATATTTAAGGAGTTGGAAAAAGTAACCCCGATAACAAAGTTTGGATTTTAGAATGAATTTCGATCCCGGTGAAATTAATCATAACTCATGTTAATGAGGGCCATTCGAGATCTGAGCAATTAACACAGACAGAGTTGTTTGTTTCAGGCCAAGTGTGCTCTCTGCTTCGTGAACCGCAGCTAAAGCTCTTCTATGAACAGCCCAAGGTCATAATGACCAAACCCACAACCCCACGTCCACCGTCTTCGGTCAAAAGTCAATCTTCAAACGGCAAGAAAAAGACACGGGCAGGACCACAGAAGTCGGCAGCAGGTAGTTACTCGTCGCATATGTTTGAATGTTTGTAATCGCAAAACCATTAGTAGGGTTAGGTGGTAGTACCAAAGGGCTGTTATTGCAATTTAGGGCTAGTTTGCTGCAAGAAAACAACCGAATTAAACGCCGTTTGTTGTTACTCTGTGTTGAAGAAAAAAGTTCATGCAGTTCCCAAATGTTTTATCATTCACTTCGTACATTTAAAAATCTTCATAGCAAATTTTTCCTAGGGTTTCCTCCAACTAGAAACTTGTTTTTTTTTCGTGTTTTTGTTCCGAGCAGTTGGGATTTAGCGAGGGCGGCGGGTTAGGGCCGAGCCCCCTTCTCCTTTCTCTTATGGATTGGACCGCCTGCTGACGCAAAGGGTCCCCCTTTGTACTATTTTGAGATATCCTATTTTGGCTGGCTGACGTTTTACTGCCTTTATCGATAATATCTTCTAATTTTCAGGGGGGAGCGCGCCACAAAAACACGATTATCTGGTCAAATTTTTCCAAAAATTTGGTCGAATTAGAGTCTTCATTATGATTTGTGAGAGCTCAAAAAATCAATTTGGTTGACCTAGAAAAAATGTCGACAAAGTTTTCGAATTTTTTTTGAAAATAAAATCCCCCTCGATAAAATCCTAGATATTCCCCTGGTTTCGAACATTGAAAATAAGGAATTTTGTTTTCAGATGTTTTAGTTTTGGCTCCGACTGTTCAAAATGGGCGAAAAATTTATAGTGATGTGTTGTGTTTTAGTTTTTTATTCCGTCCATATTCGGGTGTTTTTTTAAATTTTTATTTTGATTACTAATTTTAATTTTTAGATCAATTTTGAACGAGCAAAGCGATGGAGTAACGATCGTAATTACCCTTCCAAAGCGAATGTTTTTAGTACGAACCTTCTTTTTTTCCAACCTAAGTCGCAAGTTAAAGTGCTACTTTTTAAGGCACTTTGAACTGTAGGCTGCTGTAGCAGTATAATGTCATATTTGCTTTAACATTTGATTAGTGAAAAGTTAAGACAGCTGATGCATTTTTATTTCATCAAAGGAACCAAAAAAAGTTACTTGTTTCAAACAGCAGTAAAATGATGAAAAGCTCGATTTCAGAAATTTTCCAACTCAATGTATCTCTGAAATGCATTTTGAAATGCATAATTAATGCATATTTTAGCTTTATACTTTCCTATTTAATAAATGCAAAATTGTCTTTTTTGTATACTTTTGCTGCATCGAATTGGCAATTTATTAGCATATGTAGCTGCTTTAATAGTGGCTAGTTTTTGGTAATTTTAAAGCCCTTAGGCCGACTAAATTTGACGTTAATAAAAGAAAACAAGTTTTGAAAGCTTCTCTTAGCGCTTCTTTGGCAATAAAAATGTACTAAAAGAACATAAGATGCAACAAATAACTAGAAAAAAAATTAGGATAATTTTCTTCCTTTTCATATTTGTTATCACTTTCTGAAGACAATTTTTTTTTCAATTATGCCTAAATGACTAACTTTCTTCGCGTTTCTATAGTTTTCTTGTCGCACTGTGCTCAAAAAACGAATGACACCAAATTGAAAAAAAAAATGTAGTTTTTTTATGAATGCGAGTGGAACATACTGGGCTACTTGCACAGCAGCCGGCTATCCTTGTTATTGCATGGAATTTGCAACACACAATTCCTCCTTCAATTCCAAAATGCTGTTTTTGTTCAGTTTCTATTTTTTTGTACCTTTTTTGTTCTCAGTTTTGATTTTGTTTGAACAGATTTTTGGGTTAGTTTTCAATTTTTCTCTAAACAAAAAGTCTATTTTTAAAGTGACTAGTTTTTTCTTATAGACAAACTGTGATTACTAAGCATTACTTTGGTAAATATGCCCAAGGCTAGTTAGTCAGTGGAATCAAAAGCAGACAAAGTAAGGCCTTGTTGCTGATTCCAGAACAGAGCTATCTTTTTTAAACTTTTTTAGGCAGAATCCAGGGTCAAATACTTAAACATTCGCAAGCTTTTTAATTATGGAATTTTTGATGGTTAGTTAGTAGATTCCACGGATGCGAATTTCACTAACAATTGTTCATAGATTCTGCATAGGAATCGGGAAACATTGGAATAAATGGCATTGGTTTCCACATACCTACATTAAATCTACACCAGTCATTTAGAGACTTAATTAGAGAGGTTTTTTTATTTGTCAGCGGTATCCAATACTCAGTTTTTTTGAATTTTTCCTACTATAATTCAAAGTTTGGATTTACCACAGTCTCTTATTAGAAACCTATTCGGAAGAACTTGGCGCTAAACTGATAAATGTTAAACGACAGATGTCATGGTTGTGACGAGAATTTATAGTTTGTGTACATCAACACGGGGTTGTAAAGAACATTTTAATACATAAATTTAATGGGCCGATTTTCCGGTCAAAATAAAGTCAGATGGAAACAACTAATTTGCAAAAATTGTTGAAAAGCAAAAAAACTCTCAATATCACCCTAAACTGTAATAACAAGAGTTGACATAATTGCCCCATAAGAAAGAGCTTCAATTGATCATGAGTTTTTTTTTACATGAGGATAGAGCAGTCCGTATTAGGATTTTTTGCAACCTAAATTGCAAAGAATAAGGCTCATTTATTAGTCGGCACTTTTGCAGCATTATATCTGGTTTACTTTTGCTGCATCGCCTTATCATTGTTTTTTTTTGCTAGTAGTTAATTACTGTTTGATAAAAACAGGCATTATGAAAATGTATGGGATTTGGTGTTTCGAAATATTTTTTGCGCTTTGGATAATTTTTGCGTTTTTGCAAAACTTTAAATGTGTCTCAAGAACTACTTTACTGATTTTTAAAGAAATGGTTCCAAAGAAAAGACCGGCTACTACACTTTCTGGCTGCTACTTTGACCTAATGTTTTTTGGATTATTTGCATTTTTTGGAAACTACTTTGCCAAATCTGATATTAAAGAATTAATCAAAAAAATATATTATAGTGATCTCCCCTGCAAAAACTGATGCGCCCTAATTGTTGTAGACAGAGTATTATGCTTGAAAAATGTCGAATTCTTGATTTTTCTCCGAATTTACCCTAAATTCTGAGGTTAAGTATTTAATCGGAAGAACAGTTTCCATAAATCTTTGCACAAGTGGTATCATCTGATTTTTTTTATAAAAAATTCTCGACTTAAGACATGAACAGTTTTTCCCGCTTTGGGAATCTTTTCGAATTTTCTCAAAAACTACCTCGACAAATTTGAGATTGAGAGTTCATTCGAAAGAACAATTAAGAGGAATTTTCTCTGCATAAGCAGCTTTTCCCTATTTTTTTGTAGATAAAAGAGGCTTGTTAGAACTAACTATGCTGAGTCTGTGATAAAGAATTCAATTTAAAAAGCAGGTGTCAGGAGTTTTCTCTACATAAAAGCTAAGCCTAGTTTTTTGCAGAAAAGCGATGTTTGTTGTAGAAAAAGTATATAACTCGAACTATTACTGGTACCTGATTTTGCGCGGAGAAAAAGGAAACTAAAACACACGTGACTATAAAGTTCCTCTGCATTTTTCAAATGGTCAGAACAAAAACAAAATTGTCGTTAGTTTGATGCAAATATTAATTTAGAAAATGATTCAACGTGTCTTTATCATCAATTGTTTGATAAATAAGAATGAAAAGAACCACCACTATATATATAGTCACGTGTGTTTTAGTTTCCTTTTTCTCCGCGCAAAATCAGTTACCAGTAATAGTTCGAGTTTAGAACTACACACGACATTTATAGTTTAGAATGAGTCTCTAGGCCGGCAATTAAGACGACAGCTGTGAAGACCATAACCGTTTTTGATGGGACTTTAAAACGACGCTAATTGTAATTCTGAGAAATATAAACCGCTCAAATTCAAACCGCTTATTTCAAATGTAATAACTCTCATTTTTCGTCTTAATATCATGTCGTCTTAAAGTCCTGCGTTTCATTTACCTAGCACTCAGTCTCTAATGATGTTTTTTCTCACAAAGAATGGTTAGAGTAAGGTCGTGACAATGCGTTTTAATGACACTTCTTAGTGTAAGTGAGACATATGTGCATGATTGCTCAAGATAGTCGATGGTTGGTTGAAAATTGATCCAAAAGTTTGAAGGCATAGGCTCCGAGGTTCTTACGTTTTTCCATGATGCTTCCTCCAGTTCTATATCTGTCCATTTAATTTTTGTTTCGACAAGAGCATAACCTGTCCAGAAATTGTTAAGTTGTTCAACATGTGCAGTGAAATAACTAATGACACTGTTCAATTCATAAACGTCTCTGGGCGTGAATACTTCTGCATGGCTAAAACATTTTTCGAAATAGCGATTGAATTTTTTAGTGGAGGCTTTGTGATGTTTAACTACAGAATTCATAGTTCGAATTCAAAGTGACTACTTTGCTCTTAGTTGTGCTGCCTTAATAAAATAAGATATGATTTTCATCAACAGAGTTTGAATTTAAACCTTAAAAAATATTTTCTTTGAAATTGATTTTAGAAGTAAAAAAAAGCTAACCGTTTTTTGCAGTAATCCATGGCATTTAGAAAGCTCATTTTTTGACCGGTGTAATCAAAACAACGATCATCAATTCCTCCGATTTTGTTTAAAGCATACGGGCAGTATCTGTCTGTGAGCGGAGCAGGTAATGGTGCAGGTGAAAAAAAATTAAGATAAAGTATAGCTACATTATAAAATTTATAAGCGACCAAAAGTAATAAAACTAACCATGCTATAAAATAAAGGTCCATTTTTTTCCTGAAAGTTGGCTGAACATTTGTCAACAGCTATTGCCCTGTATGATTACAAAATGATCAATCAGTCTCATGTATACCTAAATCATTCAACTCGATTCAACCAAGAGTTTAAAATAGTCGGCTTAGCAGTCTTTGGCTAATTGAATATTTTCGGCACAAACGTCGATTGATTTTTTTGCACAAATGGGACTCAGTTTTCGTTTTGATACAAATGAATGCCCGCCAAGAGAAGAACCACAGCACGTGCGATGCA